TTTTTTTTTTGGTCTCCCTATGTTGCCCAGGCTGGTCTCAAACTCTTGGGCTCGAGCAGTCCTCCCACCTTAGCTTCCCAAAGTGCTGAGATTACAGGCATGAGCCACCACGCCTGGCCAATTCGTTTCCATTTAAAATGTAGACCGAGCACAGTGGCTCATGCCTGTAATCCCAGCACTTTGGGAAGCCGAGGTAGGTGGATCACGGAGGTCAGGAGTTTGAGACCATCCTAGCCAACATGGTGAAACCCTGGCTCCACTAAAAATAAAAAATTAGCTGACAGTGATAGTGTGCACCTGTAAAACAATCTACTCAGGAGGCTGAGGCAGGAGAATCACTTGAACTTGGGAGGCAGAGGTTGCAATTAGCCAAGATTACGCCACTGCACTCCAGCTGGGGCAAAAGAGTGAGACTTTGTCTCAAAAAAAAAAAAAAAAAATTAATTAACTGGATGTGGTGGCACATGCCTGTAGTCCCAGCTACTCAGGAGGCTGAGGCAGGAGAATCGCTTGAACCTGGGAGGTGGAGGTTGCCGTGAGCTGAGATCGCACCATTGCACTCCAGCCTGGGCAACAAGAGCGAAACTCTGTCTCATTTGAAAAAAAAAAAATTAATTAATTAATTAAATACAATGTAAGAGGGGACTTGACACAGTGGCTCATGCCTGCAATTCCAGAATTTTGGAAGGCCAGGGTGGGAGGCCAGGAGTTCAATACTAGCCTGGGCAACATGGTGAAACTCCCTCTCTACAAAAAATACAAAAATTAAAAAAAAAAAAAATAGCCGTTGAGTGGGGGAGGTGAGGTAGAGGAATGCTTAAGCCCAGGAGGCAGAGGTGGCAGTGAGCCAAGATGGCACCACCACTCCAGTCTGGGAGACAGAGTGAGACCTGTCTCACAAAAAAAAAAAAAAAAAAAATAGCAAGGGGCTCAGCAGAGTGGCTCACACCTCTAATCCCAGCACTTTGGCAAGGCAAGAGGACTGCTTGAGGCCAGGAGTTCCTAACCATCCTGGGCAACACAGTGAGACCCCGTCTCTAGAAATACATAAATTAATTAAGAGAGGAGGAAACATGGAATAAAAAAGGTATTCCAAGTGTCCACTCAGGCAGCAAGCAGGAAGAAGTCTCCTCTATCCTTTCCAAATCCCTTTCACCTTGCAGGAGCCAGGTTCCTTGACTTTGTTCTGACTGCCCTCTCCCCTATGTTACCTTATCAACAATCTTTCTCAGGGCCTTGAGGGTAGCATTACTTTCCAGGGTGAGTTTGACTAAGTTCTTCTGGGATGCTGCTCGGGCCTGCGTCCTTTGGGCCTTAAGTTTTCGCAGTTGTATGAGCACCAATTCCTTGTCATTACGGATGTACCGGTTCTCATCTTCACTCTCTCGGCTATGTATCATGATCTTGCCTTTTGAAATAGTTATGGCATCCTAGAGGAACAGAGTAGATTAGGGGAAACACTTGAACTGAGGGTCTTCAGTGAGACAGGTGAAAGGGCTGCTTGGGGACTGAAATCAGAGCATGTCATGTTTTCCTAACCAGTGATCAGTGTTGAGGCCCACAGGAACAAGGGGAAGAGGAACAGGGGATAACAGAGCAGTTCAAGCAGTACTTCCAGGTGGCTACACTAACCTGTAGCTTCTGTATTTTTTTCATCTGTACTTCAATCTCTTTGGAGTTTTTCTCATCCTTCACCTGCAGGGTCTCAAAGGCAACCTTTCGATCCTCTGTGGAATCAGTGTAATTCTTGAGTACATCCTGGAACTTCCTCCACAGATCTTCTACTGTGTTCTCCAGTTGCAGTCTTAAAAAGTGCTTCTCTTCTAAATTCTAGGAAGTGACCCCAAAATAGCAAATGTTTGGAATTAGCCTATTAGTGCCCTTTCACTTCCACCAGCAACCTCACCCTCTTGAACTGTTTGTAGCATAGTTTAGTACAGAGGTCGCCAATGAAAATGCCTACAAAAGACCAGGCAGCTGATATAAATAAGTTTTTTGGGCTGGGTGGGGCCTGCGGTGAACTGGAGAGGAAGTGCTCCATCTGGGAGGAGGAGGGGCAGTCACTGAGCTCTATGTGAGCCTTGCCATTTGGAAATGTGGCCCAGTGTTGCCAGATCTTTAAATTTTTCAAGGGAAGTTGAAAATTTAGATGTTTTTGTTAAATCTCCAATTTTTAAGTGTAGGATGCTTATTCAAAAAATTTTATAAAACACTGTGGGGTAAATAAAAACAAAGACCCCCAATACCCAAACCTAGGTCTGGCTAGTGGACCTCCACGACAGTGGAAAGGACTTTGGGTCAAGGGGCAGGAGACCTAGATTCTCCTTCTGATTCTACCACAAACCAGCAGCATGACTTTGGCAGATCATTTTACTTATCTTGACCTTACTTTCTTCATCTGCAAATCACAGGGGTGAAGCCAGATGATCTCCTTGGTGCTTTTTAGCTCTAAAATGCATTCCCTTGACATTTAGAATGGTCTTCCCTCCTAACCAATTTTCACAAACTTACAAAAAGCTGTAGGGATACCTACAGTGGGAATAGATCTTTTACTGACTGTTGGCTGAAGGTGCCTCTTCTACCTCTAGTAGCCTTGAGCATTTTTTGTTCTTTTTTTTTTTTGAGACAGGGCCTCGTTCTGTCACCGAGGCTGGAGAGCAGTGTTGCTATCACAGTTCACTGCAGCCTCAATCTTCTGGGCTCAAGCAGTCCTCCTACCTCAGTCTCCCAAGTAGCTGGGACCACAGGCACACACTACCATGCCTGGCTATTTTCTTTTTTGGTAGAGACGGGGTCTCCCTATGTTGCCCAGGCTGGTCTTTAACTCCCAGTCTCAAGTGATCCTGCTGCCTCAGCCTCCCAAGTTGCTGGGATTATAGGTGTGAGGCCACTGTGCCCAGCCTCCTTGAGCATTTTTCTATCACCTCCTCCCAGTTCTTGCCCATCTGCTCTCCCTCTGTACCATGTTTTTGAGATCATTCCACATGCTCTGGAACTCCAGCTTGCTTTCATACTCAGAATCCAAATAGTTCTGCTCCATGGCCATGAAGATATCTTGTAGGTAGCGAATCTCTTTCTCATGTTGGTCAATAATCGTCTTCCTGTAAGAGACAAGACACTGTCCCTGCTCTAAGGGATACAGGATATGGACCAATAATGACAATTCAAAGCAGTATGTAATAAATCTATGTGAATGGTACAAACTCTTAGGTACTGATGGAGAACACAGAGAGGGAAGGCCCTATTCTTTTCAGGGCTAGATAGAATAAGGCTGTTTTATTTTGATTTCTGAATGGGTAATACATTCATGTGATACAAAAAAAGTATAAAAGGTTACAGTGAGAAGTTTCCTTCCTATCCCTGTTCCCTGTCAAATGGGTAGGATTTTGATAATTCAAAGTGGGTAGTTGGTAAAAGGAATTTGAGGATTTAAATTTAAAAATTAAAAAAAGGCCGGGCGCGGTGGCTCACGCCTGTAATCCCAGCACTTTGGGAGGCCGAGGCGGGTGGATCACGAGGTCAAGAGATCGAGACCATCCTGGTCAACACGGCGAAACCCCGTCTCT